TGTGGCCCAAATCTTTTGATCTCCGAAAATTTAAGGATCATTCCTTATCCAGTAGAATTCCCAGATGGAGGAGCTCGAGTCCAAAACTGTCCAGATCAAAGCCAGCTGCTGTTAAAAATCACCAGGGAGAAGGGATGCTGCTGGATTGAATAGATTTTAAACCAGGCAGGAGAGGAATGGAAGAAGTTCAGCCTTGGAAGAGCCAGGTCAGAGCTGGGAGCTTCCAGATGTCACAGGCAGAGCAACCCTAAAAAAAGTCAGGTGCCAACATTCCCCAAGCCCTCTCTGCACCTGCAACCCTGAGCCCAGCCCAGCCAGGTGCAGGTGAGGTGGCACCTGAGCTTAGAGACCCCTGAACCCCCCAAAATCCCGTTTAACTCTGAGCTGTCCCCCAAACACTACAGGTGACACCGCTCTGCTCGTGTGGCACTCACTGTCCCAGGCTGCTGGGACACTGCTCATTTTCCAGCCCACCTTCCCCAGGACATTCCCCATATTCCAGGATAGTCCTCAGTTTCCAGCCCTTCAGGGCTGAATCCACTTTCCCCAGTACATTCCTCATTTTCCAGAATATGCCTCATTTTCCAGCCCTTCAGGCCTGAATCCACTTTCCCAAGAACATTCCTCATTTTCCAGAATATGCCTCATTTTCCAGCCCTTCAGGCCTGAATCCACTTTCCCCGGGACATTCCTCATTTTCCAGGATATTCCTCATTTTTCAGCCCTTCAGGACTAAATCCACCTCCCCCAGCAGGTCCCAGCCATTCCAGAGGGATCTGGGGATGGATCCTTCAGCCAGGGGGAACAGCTCCAGCTCAGCACCTCCAAACCAGGTCCTGCCAACACCCCAGAAGCAGGATGAGCCCATTTGGGATCTCTTCCCTGTCTCAGCAGGCAGGAGGATCCTGCTGGACTCCACAGCCCCGAATTCCTGGCTCAGCAGACTGAGCAGGGACAATCCTGCTCCCAAATCCCTTGGGCAGGAGAAGCACCTGCAGCTCCTGGGACCAGCCAGAGCAGAGCACCTGAGCCTGCTCCCCCTGCCCAGGTCAGCATTCCCAAAATCCCTTTTTCCTCGGGAGACACCTCAGCCCTCCCCAAAATCCCTCCTGCCTCAGGAGACACCACCACACAGGTGTCACCACTCCTGCCCACGGGGGGATTTTGCCTCCTCCTGACCCCACAAGAATCGGGATTTGGGGTTCTTTTCACACCTCAGCTGGGAGCCTCTTCCCAAAGGATTGATATTCCCACAGCCAGAGTGACCCCACTGCCTCTCCACGGCCCCAAACGGGGCAATGACCACGGCATCAAATGTGGTTTGAGGGATGCCATATCTCCCAAACCTTTGATTTGGGACACCTGCATATGGAAAGCATCTGGTAAGCTTAAAAAAACCCAAATCTTGATAGAGCAGATCCAGCTGGTTTTGCAGCAAAGCCTTGGAAAATGAGAGCACAAAGTGATTGTCTCCATATCAGAGCTCCCCTCACATGGCAGATCCCACACCTGAGGGCGATGCCTTAAATTTCAGCTTTCATATTTGAAGGGCTGAGGCGAACCAGGAAGATTTCTCCTCCCCAACTCCACAGGGAGATGAGAACTTTGACGTCCTGAAAGCATCACCTGCCCGCCAGCAGAGAGGGCCGCTGTCCTTGGGAGCCCTGCTCCAGTTTCCCAGCTGGGATCTCCCCTCCTTGTACAACCCCGGGCAAAGCAAAACGCAGCCTCTTCCCAAGGCCTGAGTCACCAACGCTCTGCCCCCACTTCCCTCCCCGCGGCTGCGCCCGTGATTATAAAAAGATGTCTCAATTAGCAAGAGCTGAGCAACTCCCGCAGCCTCCAAAGCCTTCGGAGGAAATTCCGAGCCAGCAGCGAGCAACACCAGCAAATAAAACCTCCTCTGGTGCCTATCAGAGTAACCTCAAACATCCTCTCCCCAAAACCAGCAGCTCCAGTTCGGAGGGATCCGGGCTGGAGTTCCCCTGGCCACGCCGGGTCCCCGGGAGCAGCCAGCGCTAATTTCTGTCTGCGCTGTCGGCTGCAGGTCTAGACTGGTGTGGTCTTTTTGTTGTAGCCAGCAAAAGAAGGGAGTCATTCATATACATATTATTTTTTTTCCAGGATTCACACAAAAGTGCTCTTGTGCATCCCAGAGCCCGCGGATCGGCAGCCGCTCGCCCCGGCGCTGGGACGGGCTCCGAGGGGCTGCGGCCACTGCCCAAACCCCGCCCGAGCACCTGCCCCGGGGCCAGCCTTTTGGGCAACCAATTCCCACGGCAGAGAAGGGAAAAGCCCTAAAAATAAACCCAAAAACCCGCAAACGATGAAGGAAAACAGCGGCCACACGCTTTTCCTTGGAGAGAAGGGGAAAACTCCACCAGGAGCATCCCGACACCGGGCAGAGGAAGGGACACAAAGGGGATGGCACGGGGGGAGAAGCCACAGCGGGTGCGGGCACCGAGGGGACCCGCAGTGCCCAGCACAGTCCCCCCCGTGCCGAGGAGCAAACGCGGGGCGCAGGAGCCCCGTGCTGAGCCCCGCACCCCCGAGCCGAGCGGGGCACCCACCTCCACCTCCGCCGGCAGCGCCCGGCGCCTCCCGGGGCTGCGGCTCCCCCGGTGCGCCGAGCGGCATCCTCCTCATCCTCCTCCTGCAGAGCCTCGGGGGGTCCGGATATCGGCCCGCTCCCACCGGGAATACCCCGGGAGCGCCGGGATGGGCAGCGGGAGCGGCGCCACCGCAGCCAGGGATGCTCCGACTGCGGCTGCCGGGCCATTCCCCCTTTTATAGCCCCGCGGCGGCGGGCGGGCGGCGCGGCTTCACGGGACTTGTAGTTCCTCCCCCCGGCCTGGAGCCGCCTCCCTCCGCCCTTCAGTCCCTCCCTCTGTCCCTCTGTCCCTCTGTCCGTCCGTCCGTCCGTCGGCTGGGAGGGGACGGCGCAGGCGGTTCGGGAGGAGCCGGGGGTCGCAGCGGGTCCGCTCCTCACCGGGACCCCGCCGCTCTCCAGGAGAGGGAAGAACCGATGGTTTTGCCTGGAAAAGTCGGGTTTTCCAAGGGATTCTTGGAGCCGCATCCCTGGCACCGCCAGCGCGACGCCACAGCGGCCCTAAAGTGAATGAGTAACCCCAAAACCGCGAGCGCTTCAATCGTGCCGGGTATGGGTTATTGTTTTGTTTAATTATTCTCCCAATTATTAATTTAACTTAATTATTAACCCATCCGAGGAACGAATGAGCAATTAACCGTGCTGTTGACTGCGGGGCTCGTTTCAGGCCCGTTCTCCCAAGCCCTGGGTGCTGGCAGAGTCTCCCAGAGGGATGGAGCCGTGTCCCGCAGGTTCCCCCTGAACCCCACATGCTGTGGGGCAGGTCCTGAAGGGCACAGCGGGCACGAGGAGGGGGTGGCACCGTGCCCGTGTCCCCTCCAGGAGCTGTGGCAGACAGGAGGGAGCAGAAGGTGCTGCTCAGGGGGGATGATCCTGCACAAACCCGGTCCAGGTGGGAAATGTCCCCCGCAGCAGGGACAGGGACACGGATCCAGCCCCTTCCCACCTGCGCCAGGCTGGGATTTACCATTCCAAAATTGCTGCTGAAGCAAAACCACAGAAGTTTTTTAGGATAAGGGGGGCTGAGGGAGCAAGAGGGAGAGAGGAGGGGAAGGAAAAAAAAAAAATCCCTCCTGGCAGCTTTTCAGGGCCTGAAGCCGGAGTGGAAATGCTTCCCTGCCCGTAATTGCTTTGAGAGCAGATGAATTTCTTGAAGAAACCACAGCTGAAACGCTGCACAAATCACATTGTTGTGCTTGTGTTGGCTGCCTGCTGAAGGAGGGAAAAGGTCATCGTTTAGGGGATATTAAAAAGGGGAAAAAGCCATATTTTAGCACTGTGCAGGAGGGGGTTGAGCTGCGTTTTCATAACCACGATCTGGAAATTCAAACCTGTTTGGCAAGAGGCAGGAATGGGGCTCAAGGAGAGGAAAGAGCTGGGAAAAGGCTCCAAGTGTGGAGCTTATCCTGCCCCTGGATCCCTGGAAGTGTCCAAGGCTGGGTTGGAAGAGGCTTGGAGCAGCCTGGGACAGGGGGAAGTGTCACTGACCCAGCACCACCTGAGCTGGGTGTGCAGAGGGCTCCCGTGGGCTCACAGAGCCATGGGATTGGATATCCAGGATTTCCAAAGGCAAAATTCCATTTTTGGAATTGAATTCTGAAGTTTTACTCCCTTTTTCATTGGCATTTCCTTCAGAGCCACGAGCCCACAGGACACAGAGCTGTCAGACATCATCTCCCTAAAAAAACCAACCCTGGAGCTCTCCAAGGCTCTGCCACAGCTTTTGTGTCGCTCTGGTGGGTGTGAGGGACCACGACAACCCCTGGGTGCTGCTCAGGCCCCTCTGCACCACCCAGAGACCCCCAAAGGAGAAGGAATTCCCATGGAAATCTGCAGGACTGGTTCCCAGAGGGGCCTGATGCTGATTTTTGGGATGCTCCCAGCCCTGGCTGTGCCGGAACGGGATCCAGCCCCAGGTGGGGCAGCATTCCCGGCCCTGCAAACACGCTGGCATTGTGGGGAGTGCCAGCCATGCCCATCCCGGCTCCTTGGAGAGCTCAGCATTCCTGCCCCGCATTCCTGAGCCACAGGGAAAAGCCCTGGAATGCAGGGTGGGCAGGGAAAGAGCAGGATTGCCCATGGAGCAGGGGATAAAGAGCCTGGGGGTGGGAGGATGGCAGCCAGATGTTCCCAAGGCGTGAAAAATCCACTGGGAGCAGCTGGAATCGTCCTTTATCCCCCAGGGATCTGCAGCTCCCTGGTGGTGTGGGGAGCACAGAATCCCAGGATTATCCAGGCTGGGAAAAACCTCCGAGATCGTCGAGTCCACCCTGCAAATATCAAATCCAACATGGGAACGTGGCCACTGGATCTGCTGGAGCTGATCTGGGGGAGCTTTGAAGGGAGGAAATCCTCAGTGCAAGGGCCAAGGAAAGGGGAAAGGGGAAAGGGTCCTGCTGGAAAGGGAAGAGGGTTTTCTGGAAAAAGGGTTTTCCTGGGAAGGGAAGAGGGTTTTGATGGAAAGAGAAAATTATTTTCCTGGAAAAAGGGTTTTCCTGGTTTTGCTGGGAAGGGAAGAGAGTTTTCCTGGGAAGGGAAGAGAGTTTTCATGAGAAGGGAGGAGGGCTTTCCTGGGAAGGGAAGTCCTGTTCCTCACTCCAAGGATGGTTTTGGGGCTCCCAAGGAGAACACCAGGAAGATGGACTGGCTCTTCTCCAGAAGAATCTTCCCAAGATACAGAACTCCCAATGGCCAGGAATTGCCAAGCAGGAAGGATGAGTTGTTGACTCCTCCAGGAAAACAGGGAAAGCTCTGGGAAGCGACAGGAGCTCTGCCCTGGGAAGGGGGAGCCAGGAAAACTCTCAGTTCTGTCGAAATCGCGTTGGTCCCGACGCTCTGTGGAGCAGTTTGGGGTCACAGCCCCAGCCCGTGTTGCTTTTCCCACCCCAGCTTGGGAATGGCACATCCATAAATCCACACCATGGGATTTGCTGGTGGTTTTTCCCAGAGAAACAAGAAAATAAAGTGTTTAGTGATGGGCAGCACTAGGAAAATAAAGAGACAGGGAAGGGTGAGCTGGGAATGAGTTCCCACAGCATGGCTGTTCCCTGTTCCCAGGGCCTGGCCAGCACAGTCACCTCTGCAAGTCCTCTGACCTTCAAATACCCTCCCCAGCTCAGTTAAATCCATATAAATATATGGAAATATGGGAACAAAAAGCTTTTTCTTTCCAGTGCTGAGAGTGCCAAGTGCTGCGGGAGCCAATAAAGAGCTGCTGCTCCAGGGAGCTGTGGCAGGTAAAACACAAACAGCCCAAATCTCTCCCCAAAACTGCAGCCAATCCCCAAATTAAAAAAAGAAAAAAAGAAAAATAAAACTAAACCCAAGCCCCAAAGCTGAGGTTTGTAAAGGAGGAGGAAAATGTGGTTCTGTGTTTTTAGCTCTCGCCTGGTGCTGGATCCCAGCCTGGCCCACAGGGCTGGGAAGGAGCACTGGGAATCCTCAGAGGGAGCTGGAGCAGGGATGGGGAAGCCTTGGGGACACTCCTGTCCCCTCCACACCCCGCTGTGCTCCGGGGACGCAGGAACACGGAGCAGTCCCAGCTCCAGGAGCTTGGGGAGGATCCGCTGCCACGCCAGCCCTGGGCTCTGAGCCCTCAGATCCTGAGCACAGCGGGTGAGGTGGGACCAGCTCCGGGACAAGGGACAGCAAACAGCCTCGAGCTGTGCCAGGGAGGCTCAGGGTGGATGTTCTGGAAAATCCCTTCCCTGCAGCAGTGGTCAGGCGCTGCAAGAGCTGCCCAGGGCGCTGGGGACGTGCCCATCCCTCAGAGAGGAGCACAGGTGGCTCCTCTCCATCAGGCCTGGTTGAGGGGGGTGTTTGGTCCGAGGTTGGACTCGATGGTCCTGGAGTTCTTTCCCAACCTTTTTATGGACCACAGGGAGAGAAGAGCCGTTCCACACAGTACCTGGAATTCTCTGCCTGCTCCCCAGATCCCGGGCAGGCTCCAGGAGCTTCCCAGAGGATGAAGGCAGGGCTGAACAGACACACAGCATCGCCTGTTTGCTCGGTGACACGGCCCAGCAGGGCACAGAGGTTTCAATGCCACGGCCGAGGTCACACGGGACACCTGGGACACAGCACGGAGCTTCCAGACCCTGCCCCATCAGCCAGGGAAGGGACACAGCCTCAAACCCCACGGCAAGTATCAGATAAACCCCCCAAAATCGCCATGAACCCAAAGCAGGGGAAAGGAACAGGCAAAATGATGAACACCCAGAGCCAAACCTGCTCCTCAGTGGGACAGAGACGCAGAAAATCCCAATTCCTGCCACGCCAGCATCTGGACGAGCTCAGTGTTTGATCCTTAAGCCACTTAAAGTAGCCTTGAAGCTAAAAAGTGCTTGTCTGGGGAGATAAATCCATTCTCTGAGTCCACCAAGGTGACTGAGCCCCCATCTCTGAGCAAAGGCACCAGCAGCCACACGGGCTGAGCTGCGAGCTCTCCTCGGAGGAGGAGGAGGGCAGTGATTTAGTGTCTCTCTCTTTCTCTCCCCACACTCCTTGCCTCCCGCACAAGGACCCATTGAGAGGCTGCAGAACAAACGCTCCCTTATGCAGCTCCAAAAAAGCCTCGCTCGGTTTGTGCGAGGCAGCTGCCCCGGAGCTCGCTGTGGTTACTCATTAACCGCGGCTCCCAGGGCACGGGAAGGAGGAATCAACTTAACAGACCCTAAAAAGAAACAGAAAAAATAAAAAAAATAAAAAAATAAAATAAATAAATAAAACAAACCAGCAATGAAAATAAATACATCAGGTGTCCTGGAAAAGGACGTGGAAAAAACAGGTGGGAGCAGCTGGGAGCAGCTCCCGGCTGGGATGGGCTGAGGGAGCAGCGGGGACAATGGCACGGAGGGAAATGTGTGGGGACAAAAGGGGACGATTATTAAAGGGAAGGGAAGACAGAGGGGACAGAGAGGCGCTTGTGCTGCACAGAGAAGGGTTTCTGTGCCCCGCTGTGGGGCGGGATCTGCTCCCCACCCGAGCCATCCCTGCTCCGGAGCCATTCCTGCTCCTGCCCCCGGCGAGTTTCCCAGGAGATGAGGCGCTGCCGGGGCTGGGGAGCGTTTTCCAGGTGTCGCTCCCTGTCCCCGGCCAGCAGAGCCCCGCGGTGACCTGTCCCGGCAGGAGAGGGGGGAGCTGCTCCCTGGATTC